TTTTGAGTGTTCAAGTTCAAAGAGGCTGCTAGTTGTCTTCTAAGTGAATTTCCAACCAATATCTACCAAAGAAAGCAAAGGCATCTATGGGATTGAAACAGGTTCTTTCAAATAGGAATGAATCTCTTCATTTAGAGGCTTCCGCTTACCAACTAGCTACCACCACTATCCCTAACATTAAGCTTTGCATAAACAACTTGCTAAATACAAAGATAATATATTCAATAAAAATGAAAAAAAAAAAAAACCCAAGGAAATAGTAGTACGAAGAAAATCTTTACACTCCATCTACTTTGATTTTTGCAAATTATTATAAAGAGTTTGATAATTTTATTCTTGAGAACAAAATTATTCTCAATAAAACTTGGTTTTTTCATAAATGGAAAGACATTTTCTTACAAAATATAATATCCTTGATAATTTCAATGCATCTATCGACATATCCCTTTTTTTCGATCTCAATAGTAATTTTTTTTTCAATTTTGATATAGTTATTGATGTTAATATATATATATATATATATTACGGAAAAAATCATAGCTTGTAGTCTGAAAATATGAGAAAGAGTTATAAATGTTGGGATTTGAATCCTAAATTTATTAGATATCACCTTATAAGAGTGATAAACTTTTTATATTAATTTGTAATTTATTTTACCTTTAATACTTTATGGTGGCAATTTTTTTTAATCCAAAATGTTAGAAAATGAACCTTAATTACTGAAATTAAGAGTTCAATATTTTATTAACAAATTATTATTAATCTATATAATAGTAGATATAACCTAATATATTTGTGTTTTGAAATTTTGGATATGCTTGCAAGCATTATCCTTCTATATATCTTATCTTTCTATATATGCCTTTTAAAAAAAGATGAAGACTTTTCATATTTTGCAAGATATTTTCTTTCGTGTAAAAAAAAAAAAAACTAGGAATGTCAAAGAAATATGATAGATGGGTATGATTAATTATTAGTTAAAGGTTTTTTTTTTTGTATTTGAAATTGTTAAAAATTGAATCTTTATCATTGAAATTAAGAATTTAACATATCACACTTCACACTATTTATAGTTATAGAGTTTCTTTCTTTAAAGGTCTATTGATATTAACAATATTCCATGCATAAATTATTTTACCAATACTATATATGCTTATACTTGCTTCAAAAAATTTAAGATTAAAAATTAAAAAAATAGTGTGTTACATTATAAAGTAACAAAAGTATGATTGTTAAATTTTATAACATATTTACATGCACGCGCGCACAACACATATATATATATATATGAATTATTCACGATGCTGAAATTTTATTATCTACCCTTGTAATTCAATTTCTCTTTATCCCTGTATACTTTGATTTTTTTATACCAATAAAATTAAGGAAACGTCCATTCAATCGATTGATTTAATAGCCTAACAATCAAGAATTTTAAGAACAACGGCAATGAAATCACATGTTTATCGTTGATTTAAAGATTAAAGCAACTTATTTACTTAGAAAATTTAAATATCGAACAATAAATTTACATCAAATGATTATCCGATATTTTTTTATATTTGATTTTGATTTTGCACCTAATTTAAAAAAATAAGTTTAATTTTAACTTTTATTGATTATAATTTTTTTTACAAAACTCGATTTTAAAGAAGTGAAGAAAGTAAATAATTATAACTAAGAATAAAAAATAAAGACATATTTTTTTTAACTTTTCAAACGATACATTATTTTTTTGAACAATTTAAAGTACGTAATAAGACAATATTTAAAAGGAGGAGAGCACTGATATTTGTTGTTGAATTGTTTTTATTTTTATTTTTATTTTTTGTTGTTGAATTGTTGAATAATAATAAATAAATAAATAAAGAATCGATAGGTACGTGTGATGTAAACACGACAAAGGTAAAGGGGGCAAATGATTGACGGAAGGAATAAAAATGGTCATTTTCAGGGCTCTGACTCTGAGAGGGAACTGTGGGGTCCAAGTGTCCTTGCACGCGCGCACGCCGCGTGGACCCCACTCGTTGACTTTGGCTTATTCAAAGGTCATATGAAGAAAAGATGACGTACGCTTTGTATTGCTTGAAGACTAATAGAAAGTAGCGGTCTTTCCTCTTTTTTTCTTCTGCCGCCTCTCAACTACCAATTTCTTAATTTCCCATTTGTCTATCATTTTCCTCCTAATATTATTATATAAATACAAATATATATATATATATATATATTGTATCTTTCAACTTCAAAGCATTAAATATTTAATTTAATGATTAGTAAATGCTTTTTTTTTTTAATAAAGAGATTCAAATCTTTCATCTTCTAATGTGCAAGAAAAAAAATCTAATTCAAATTATCTTCTATCTTTAAAAAATATCTATAATTTTCTATTGTTAATTTTAGATAAAAAAAAACTTTTCGTGTATAACTATTTTTTTATATAATATATTTTTCGTATATTATCTATTTATTTCAATAAAAATAAGAATAGGCAAAGAAACAATTCAATAATTAGATTATAATATTTTATTTCTTAAAAAGATAATTAAGGGAGCTTGTAAGATGAAATACCCTTCTTTTGTAACACAAACTTGATTCTCTATTCCTCCACTAATGTCTAAACTAATCCTAAATATGTTTTAGAGAACATTCATTTATAAGTATGCATGTAATATGTATTGGCAAACAATTAGTACATATATATATATATATATAGACGCAGCTTAGATATAATAATGCGTTCATAGGTGTTTGAATATTGAATATCACATATTAAGATTAATTGTATAAATAAATTAAATTAAGCTGTGATCAGGATCGAAAAATCATTTTGAGCAAATTTCAAGAGAGATGTGTTTTTTAAAATTTATTAAAAATGTATTTTTATGTATAGAAATTACAATTGATATAGAGCAGCACTCCGGTAAGGCAATCTAAGATTTGCTATACCCAATCATCATTGACATGTAGCAACAAATTAAAGCACCATCGAAACAAATGAAACAAATTAACCACATGGTTTCGATTGAATTTATGGTATAACAAGCATTCGGAAATGGCCTAATTTGCCACTCAAATTCCAAAACATTCACTCATGTCATAATGAAGATATGACTGCAAAATATAACCAAATTAAACTCGATTCATTCCTAAAAAAGAAATGGATTCATTCACCATGACCAAAACTATCTGCTTAATGGTCCATAACTAATTATTATAATCAATTTCAAGTCACCATTGCTCTCATTCTGCGTATTCAACAACAATCTCTTTCATCAATGCCTCAACTCAAATTACTACTCAAAGGAATTGTTATATATACATTATGCTTTTGAGTTTTTACAAATGGGTGTTAAAATGAATGATATAAATATTTCATGATTTTCTTCTTTATGTACGAGATATTGAGTTCTATCGATAGACTACACGGCTATCGACAAAATTTAAATCCTTCGCTATTTCAAACGGTAAAAATAGGATGAGATTTGGGTAAAGATTTTGGATTTTAAGCGTAAATGCTTCTTTGAAAAATAAATAACGATTACTCTTGAGTAATCACTAATTATAGTCAAATTATCTTTCACAAGGTTTAATTTATTTTTGGCTTTTTGATCCAAAGATCAAAAAAATATATAGTACTAACACTAGTATAAGTGAATCTCTCCTCTTAATTTATTCTATAACAACATTCTCTTGATGTTTTTTGCACTTGTAAGATTTGATCATACAATCTCAAGACACTAATCCATTTTTTTATACTTGACATTACTAAAATTTTGAATCCTAATCCCTAAAACTAAAAATCCAACACCCTACTAACAGGCCATAAGACATTTGGCACTAATCAATTTGGCTTGATAATAACTTCACATCTAATTTTCATTTGGTTGAATGATAAATTAAGAAAAATATATTATATCTAAAAATATAACTAGATTAATGGATTTTAGACAAATGATAGTGAAAAATACATGCTAAATATATATATATGATTTGGTTGGTTTGTGCATAAGCTGTTGTAATCTAGCCAATATATTAGTTTTTATTTGGTTTAGGGAATTTGAATTTAACTTCTAATTAGTATTTTTGGTACTATGACTATTAGCTTGAATGTTAGCTGAAAAAAAATTAGATGCTAAGTTTGATGAGACTACAATAAATAGATATATCGGGGCACTTTAATTAGGTCTTAATCTAGAAACATTAAATCATGAGCTATTTATATGATCATTTACATCAGGAAATCATTTTTTTTTTAGATGCAAAGCGAAAATAAAGAAAGATAGGAACACCATTTTCTTTTTATTTAAAGTTTGATTTATTCTAAAAAAATCAACCCAAAGTGGAGAATTATTTTTTTCTTTTTTTTGGGCACAACTAATATATTTTTTCCATTCCAAAAACAAAAAAAAAAAAAAACTTAAAACTTACCGGCAGCCTTAGCAAAAGCAATGTAGAGGAAAAGTGTACATACAAAATTATGATTATTATCTATCAACATTAATAAAATTATTTTATGAGAAGTTTTTATTATAATTAATTATAAGATAGTAGTAATATTTTTAAAATAATATTATTTTTTTTAAATCAAATTCTTGTGTGTGTGATTGGCTGGGTAATCAGCTTCACATTCCTTTAGAAGCTATCTTTGCCATGAACAAATTGGCAAAGCAGACCGTACAATTAATTTTTTTGGTAATAGTTACAAAAATATATTCCTCAATCAAAAGATTATAAAGTAATTATAATGAAATATTCTAAAAAATAAAAAAAAAGAAGACTGTAACATAAATATTAAAAAAAAATCAATTCTACTTTAACAGAAGGTTAAAAAGCATCTAAAATATAAAAATCCAAAAAAAAAAAAAAGAGAAAAATTCAATTTCAAAATGACCTTTCCTCTTATCTTACACCCCCTGAAATGTCAACCACATTAATTCCGGTTACTTCTTTCTCAATAGTATTGCCAAATCGTTTGGCTGCTTTACTTTGTATATATATACTGAGATGCAGCAAATCGTTTTCTATCATTTTATGCAACCATAAAAGCCCCCCCAAACAAACCTCCCCACACCCAAAGAAAATCTCAATCAAATACTTTCGAACAAGTTCACAATAGCAACTGTAAGGAAACAGCTGAGTTTTTTTAGCCATGGCAGATGAGTTTAATACAGGAACAAACTGGTGGGATTCATCCAGGACAGCAGGTTCTTCTTCTTCATCTTCTGGGCTAAATAATAGCTTGGGAAGCTATGGCTGGGCAACCGAAATGGTTGATATCAAGATAGCAGCAGCAAGGTCTTCTATGGATTCTGTCTCATCAGTTTCAGGTAGTTCAGCTGTTTTTCAGGATAACCCAAAGCTTCAAATTGGACCTGATCATCCTCCTGGTGATTTACATATGATGGGGTTAGGACTTTCTTCTCAAGCTATCGATTGGAACCAAGCTTTACTGTAAGTACTGATTCCTTTTGTTTTAATTCTTCTTTCCTTTATATTGAGAATATTCTTTGATATTTTGTATAATTTTGATAGCCGTGGGGATAAGAGTGAGAGTAGTTTCCGGTCCATGCTTCAAGATCATAATTTGAATAATTCAAATGCAAATTATCATCAAGATCAAACAGGTGGGATTGGATCATCTCAAGTTCAATGGAGAGACAAAATGTTTTCTGGGGTTGGAGGAGATGCTCCTGTCAATGAGTTTAAGCAAATCAGCAGAGGATTTTCTCTTGATCAATCATCACAGTTTAGTCCCCATGGAAGTTCTAGTGATAGTACTGTGACTAGCCAGGGTTTTCCTTCTAGTTTCCAGATGGATTCAGCAGCTTTATATGCGAGTCCAACAACTTTACAAGGACTATTGGGGTCAGAAAATCAAGCACAACAACAATCCTCTTATGAGAATCGTTCACTCAGTTATCAATATGGGGCAGCTGCTGCAAGTTATGGAATGAACACTAATGATCAATTGTTGCCAAATTCTTGGTCTAAAGTCCCTCAATTCTTAAGAAGTTCTCCTCCAAAACAACAACAACAACATCTCCATGGTCAGTTACATTTCTCAAACAATGCTCCTTTTTGGAATCCATCTGCTGCAGCTTCCATGTCTGAACATGTTAGGCCTGGGTTTTTCCCATCATTGCAAACCCAATTTGCAACAGGAAATTTCGATGAAAAAACAAAGGTAAAAATACCCTTTGTTGAAGAATCTTTTACTACCCATTTTCTATATTAGGGTCTGGAATATTTTGTATTAAAATTTTTATTTCATATGTCAGCAGAATATATCCGAAGTTCGGGACTCAAGCACTGTGGTGAAGAAAAGTGGAAACGAACCTACATCTAAAAGGCCTCGAAATGAAAACCCATCAACTTTGCCTCCTTTTAAGGTACAATCAGTTTGATAAAACTTTTGACAACAGGGATTTGATTTCTTTAAAACTTTCCCTTTATTTTTTGTTTCCAATTCAATAGAAATAGATGAGAATTTCTTTAGTTTTGATCATAGGTGAGAAAAGAGAAGATGGGGGACAGAATCACCGCACTTCAACAATTGGTTTCACCTTTCGGAAAAGTGAGTTTTCTGATAATCTTTTCTTCTTTTTTGCTTTACTTTCTTAAAAAGAGATAATTTTGATTCTAATTTCATGAAAGTTTATGATTGTTTGTTATTATTATATGTAGACTGATACAGCCTCAGTGCTCTCTGAAGCCATTGAATACATTAAATTCCTCCATGAACAAGTCAGTGTATGTTCCATTGACACCTACTAATTCCTTATACAGAATCAAAACATAAAATATTTACAGCATTCTGATTACGTGTCTTTTATTATATACTATCAGGTTTTAAGTACCCCATACATGAAAAGTGGAGCTGCCACACAACACCAGCAGGTACTACTAATACTATACAATAATATTGTCTTTTTCTTGCTATATTTATATATCTATGGTTCATAATTCGATGAAGCATTTTTGCATTAATATTGTAGAATTCTGAGAAGTCCAAGGACCCCGAAGGACCTAAACAGGATCTAAGAAGCCGAGGGCTATGCCTGGTGCCGGTCTCCAGCACTTTTCCAGTGACACATGAACCGACTGCAGATTTCTGGACACCAACATATGGAGGAACATACAGGTAGAAATGGTGGAAAAAGGGCATCGATGGACATGGAACAGATTCTCTACAGCTAGTGTATATTCTTATCAGAAAAACCCTAGTTAGACAAGTTGTTGGGGGATGATAACGATCAAATTGAAAGGAACAGACAAAAGAAAGAAGCCCACATTTAAATGCCTAGTCCAAGATGAAATGAAGAAGAAAATGAGAAGAGACGAGAGAATTGGGAGAAAGGGAAAGAATTGAAAAGGAAATGACTCTTCAAAGAAGAGGCTGAGATGGCATTAGCTAGGGCCAACGACAGGCAAAAGATGCAAGGATTTGGGTGGGCACTGTAGGGGACCATTGGGAAACATGTTAATTTGTTTGTAATAATTGAAGAATACTTATTATGATTAGGGTATTGGGTTAGGAATATTTTGAGAATTCTAGAACTGTTGCTGATCTTAGGAAAAAATTTCAAGATTAATTTAGAAAAAGAAAATTCAAATTAGTAGCTGATCAGGTTAGTGGAAGAAAAAGAAAAGAGAGATGATAAGAAAGAAGCTTTTGTTTGTTCTGTTGCAAACATTGTGAATAGAGCTGGCACTACTACCTTTAATTCAAGGAAAAAAAAAAAGAAAAGAATAATTGAATTCTTGAATTGAGAAAGAATGAGTGTGGGGATGTCATTTGATTGGAAATCTCACTTTCGATTTTTTTATTTGTTTGGAATATGTTAGTGGAAGTCAGAAGGTGACCCACTCCAGCTCCTCCTTTCAGGGTTAATTTTTTTTTCTTTTTCTGAATTTTATTATCTAATAAAATAAAAATATGTTTAAAATTGGAGGAATGTATGTACTGATGCTATCAGTCATGCTTTTGTGCTTTCCAATTGAGTGGTCACATTGAGGAGCTTCTATTGGAAGGTAAAGAAGAAGCCAAAAAACTTCCCTTATTTTTTGAAATAATGTTATTGTCCTTATGTTTTTTAATCCTCAATGGAGACCTTTTGAAAAATCTTGGATTTATAATATTTATGGACTTCACACTCTCCTTCATTATATATTTAATTTCATTGAGTTTACTTGGAAATAATGGTGTACATGAATCTAATTACATAGAAAATAATATCATTAATTATGTCCATTTACTATGGAAATTTGAAAGAAAAGAGAAGAGTTTTGAAATACTATTATTTTTTAAATAATATATAACTAGGAGGAAGTCGTAGAACCTACTCGAGACTCTAAGTTCAACATAAGTTTGATGATTTAGTTATATTTTAGTTCGTTGATTGATTAGTCAATGATACATTATATAAATGTAATAGTTGATTATAATTGTAAATTCTCTTATTCTTATAATATTTCATCAGTTATTGTAAAAGATAGATTTCATTTATTAAGGAATAGAGATCCATTGAGTAATGGTAGTGTTATCTTTTTGTTTTACTTGGATTAGTTCAAGCAAAAGAAGAGTCTTTAGCATAGACAAACTAATGTCAACTCAGCATTAGGATGACATACATGATGATCATATTTTTAAAGGTTGTGAATTCGAAAAGATTTAAAATGTAATGTCTGAATTAACTAAATAGAAGTTAAAGATTTGAAGGTAGATCAAGAATTTTAAAAATATATGTGGATGGTTTACAAAGATTGTAGACTTCTTTTGCATTCCAAATTTACAATAGATTAAAGTTATCCCTTAAAATTTAAATCTTAATTTTTGGACAACTTACCTTGGTTTTAAATTTTGATGTGAGGGTTAAATTGAGTATAAAATTATAATAATCATAATGTTAAATATGTGCATAGATTTTTTTAAAGATGTACATGACAAGTGACAATATCAATTCGGGTATTTTTTATCTCCTAGATATTGTAGGAAATTATCTAGTAAAAATAAAAGAAAAGTCTATGGGAAGTATTTTGAGATTAAGAGAGAAGCAAAAGGAACTTGATACAATGCTGTTTATAAACTATTTGGAAATTCTACTAAAGATTTAATCCACACCAACAAATTAAGTTAGTGGACACCATAGTAAAGATTTTTAGAATTTGGTAATTTTGGCTATGAATTGGGTGTATTTTTTTATTCCTATAGCTTGAGAAAAAATCTTTGGGTTGCCTCATGATTAACAGAGCTAATTGAAAATTTCCAAGAAATCCCTACCATTTATCAAGAAAAAAAGAGAAAAGCTTGACATATATAACAGACTAATCATGAAGAACTTTATGAGATTCTACAATCTAATAATCCTTTTTCTCTCCTTCTTTTTCTTTTCCTTCAAAGTAAAGAATAAAATACAATAAGAAAGTTCAAAGTCCAATTGATGAATTGGTATATATTTCTTTACTCCTACTCTAGTTGGCCTGAAACTTTTGCACCCATTGGCTAAAAAAAATAGCTTTGGAAACATATCTTCTACACTGTTTTGGGATCAGTACTCTCTGATGATCATAACACTTTATAAAGTTGAAATTGAAATTTCTCAACTTTAGTTAAATATATATAATAATATGAATGTACCAAAATGAAAGCATCTAGGCATTGATGATTGTTATGCTACTATAGTCTTCCATGTGATCCCCAATATTTCAGAGACTTACTTTTTGGCCTATATTTGTCATATCTCCAAAAAAAAAAAATTTTATTGTTGTTTTTCCTGGTATTGGATTTTGCTTTCTTTCTACTTTCTTTCATGCCAAGAGGTTTACTGCTATTGATGGCAATTTCTTTTTATATCAAAGGAATTAGTTCTCTTATGTACATTTCTTGCCTAATAGCATAATCATAGGGAGTTTTGATCGTACGGACTCGATTTTGTGAAAACTATTACGAAATATTGACGTGGCTTAATATAATTGCTAGATGGTTTGATTTTCACACTGTGGGCATTTTCTTCATGTAGTAGAAGAATTGATGGATATAGTTTTAGTTTGTCATACATATAACAATGAAAAGATACATTTAATGTAGAATACTTATTATTATTTCTTTTGGGTAGATAAAAGAAGGGAACTAAAGACAATTAAGGGTTCATCTTTTTTCTAGGGTTTTTTCATGATCCAATCTATTCATTGATTCGGAATCATATAGTTGAACCTATATAATCACTCGTAATTTATGAAATGGTTTTTTAGTGATTAATGATAAATAAGTAAAATACGATGTGATAATTTAAATTTATTAAGCACTCGGTATAACATTGATTAAACAATAAAAAATATGATTACTTCTAATTATGTAACTCAATTGCGAAAGATGCAGAACTCAAAGGATATTAATGAACAAATCACTTATATGCAATCAAGAGTTCCCTATAACTAGATATCCTATCCACTTGATGACAAAGAGGGGATATAAAATATAAACCTCACCCCACCCTTTAAATTCCATTCCAAGCATCCTGGATTTTAGTTGTCCAAAATTAGCCTTAGGGCATATGACATGTTAATCCTATATATCCCTACAACAGTCACCAACCTTTTTTCATGACTATGGCACTCAAAGCTAAAATCTTATATGTTAAGGCCATCATTTGGATCATATGTGAAAGATATTTTGTTTCCTTTAATATGATTTCATTGATTGGAAAAAAAACTTGTCTTCAAAGCTCCCTTTGATATACTTTTTTATGTTATCCAATGCTGAAACATAATGATAATTAGGCATTTCCTAACAGAAGAATGTTATCCTAATTGGTTGGAAACTAGTATCATTAAAGCTTGGAATATGTTTTTGTTATAAAATTCCTACTTTTTTTTTACTTTCTTTTTTACCCCTTTTATCTTAGTGAATCCAAAAAAAAAAAAATTTGCAATAGGGTATTTGTCAAGAGTCAATAACTTGGATATATTCCAAATAATAATATGCTTCACTTTTTTTTTACAAAAAAGAAATTTATAATTTTGAGAAAGAAAAAAAATTACAGATACTAAAATTTAAACCTTAAAACTATTAAATACTTTATAAACTAACTGTATTAAACCTCAAATTCATAAAGCTTAACTTTTAACTAGACATTACTAATGGATATTTACTAATAAAGCATGAACATATTTAAGCAAAACAATGTTAGGCTAAGCACATCTTGTTAGTCTATCTTTACCCACCAGTGGAAAGCTAAATCTTTTACTAGATCTGTTGTTTTTTTAAGGATTTGGCGACCAGTTTAGTTGATAATTTTTAGGGTTGGTAACTATACTTAGAATTTAAAATCAAACCTACTTTCACTAACAACAAAAATTTTAGGTTCAACAAAAATATGGTACCTGAATTGTAGTGAAATTATCGATTTGATATTTGAAAAATCTTAATCAAGTACTTTACCTTTCATTTCTTCAGGTAAACTTTATATTTTCATAATTTCTATTAAGCAGATTCACAATTGGGTACTTTTACCTGTATAAACGAGAAAAATACTCTCATTACCTGACTTTTCCATTGTAGTCATAATAATAATAATAAATGCCTGCTAATGTAGATATTGTTGGATGAAGGTGATGGAATGTATAACTTTTATCTTCATACCTGAAAAGTAGGTTCCTATCAGCAATCAAGTTCCATCTTCTCAACCAGAAAGAAAATGTTAGGTCGATTTTAGGTTTAATGCATGCAATTTGGTGGACTCCTCTATCCTTTTGCTCTTATAAAAGCTCCCCTGCCTTTTATAAAAGGGTCCCCAATAAGGCATCCACTATTATTATCCCGGAAGGTGGGGAATAACATTGCAGTTCCAATTGAAGGTCTGAAACAAGCCTCAGTTACCGACAGTTTAGACATTTGATATTTTCTTGAGCCTCCAAGATTGTTTTCCTCCACAAGAATTGGAGGATCATACCGGGCATTTCTGTCGGTAGCTTGAGCCTTCCTGTCCCACTTCCTTGAATCAATTTCATCTATTTCATCAAATGGTAAAGGATTGAACAGAGAAAATATATGAATTACATTTAAGAAGTGTCGCCCTGGACGAGTAATAGTACAGATAAATGAGCAAACTTTACCAATGTAAGGTGTAAAACACGTACAAGCATATACCCAATACAGGAAGAATTATTGTTTTGCAAACTTGTAGAATATAGGAAATTGAAAATCTAGAGAGGGGAGAGGAAAAAAATGATAGGACAAATTGTGATTTTTGTAGTAAAATTGAAATCAGGCAGCTGCCTGGAGTTTCTTTGTTATGCCGGCAATGTACTTCCCTTGGTGGAAAGCTTGTGCCAACTCAAGTTCAGATGGCATTCTTGATCCATCCCCAGCATAGGTTCCCGCACCGTAGGGACTTCCACCTTTCACTTGCTCCATCTCAAACATGCCAGCACCAAAGGTATATCCGATAGGAACAAATATCATCCCATGGTGAACAAGCTGAGTGATTGCAGTCAACCTGTTATTAATTTCGAAAGATTTAGATACAAGTTAGGTTTTCATCGTTGTGTTCTAAGTTTTGGGTGTCATAAGTCTATTATAAGATTGTGATACAGGAACTCACGCTGTGGTCTCTTGTCCGCCACCTTGAGATCCAGTGCTATAGAAGATTCCAGCAGGTTTTCCCGCAAGTTGCTGAGTTCTCCATAGACCACCAGTTGCATCCAGAAATGCTTTGAATTGAGCAGACATCATTCCAAATCTTGTTGGGAAGCCAAAAATAAACCCATCAGCCTCAGCAAGCTCATGGGGTGTAATAACCGGTACATCACTTTTTGGTGGTGCACTCATCTTTCCAAGAATCTCTTCTGATAGAGTCTCAGGGACCTGTACCACATA